ATTACTTTGGGGAGGGCCGGAGGGCAGTGGATCACTGGTGCAGGTCAGAGTTTGGAGATCAGGCCTGGGGCCAACTTTGGCTGAAACCCGCCCATCTCTACTAAAATACAAATAGCCAGGGCGGGGCAGGCTTACTCGGGCAGAGAAATCACTTGACCCCAGGAGGGATGGAGTTGCAGGTGGAGCTGAGATTGCACTACTCCTCCGCCTTGGGGCGGTGGACCAGCAAGGGATCTGCTCCTCAAAAAAAAAAAAAAAAAAAAAAACTACTTATGCTTCTGACCTGTTTCCACAATCTTCAGCCTTCATCAAAGGTTCTCTCTGTCCCTAGGCATCAACGCACAGAGAACATTAAAGAAAGGTCTCCACAGTCCCTGGCAAAGCCTAAGTCCCAGGCACCCGCAAGAGCAAGGAGGACAACCATCTATGCAGAGCCGGTGCCAGAGAACAATACCCTCAACATACAAACCCAGCCCAAAGCCCACGCCACCGGAGACACAGGAAAGGAGGCCAACCAGACAGCACCGGAGGAGCAGGACAAGGCGCCCGACACAGCACAGACGGCAGCATGGAAGAGCCCAGAAAAAGAGAAAACCACAGTGAACACACTGTCACCCAGAGGGCAAGAAGCAGGCACGGCCTCTGGCAGGACAGAGGCACAGTCATGGAAGAGCCAGGACACAAAGACGACCCAAGGAAATGGGGGCCAGACCAGGAAGCTGACGGCCACCAGGACAGTGTCGGTGAAGCACCAGGGCAAAGCGGCGACCACGGCCAAGACGCTCATTCCCAAAAGTCGGCCGCTTATGCTGGCCCCCACAGGAGCAGTGTCAACAAGGACAAGACAGAAAGGAGTGACCACGGCAGTCATCCCACCCAAGGAGAAGAAAGCTCAGGTCACCCCACCCCCTTCCCCTTTCCAGAGCCCCACGACGCACAGAAACCAAAGCCTGAAGGCTGCCAACTTCAAGTCTGAGCCTCGGTGGGATTTTGAGGAAAAATACAGCTTCGAAATAGGAGGCCTTCAGACGGTGAGTTTTTGCCACCACCCCTTCCCTCTGGCTCCCATGCCCACCCTCTCCGCAACTCCTGGGCTCTGCTTCTAGATTTGGTCTTGTCCTGCCGCAAGCTCATTATGAGGCAGAGCTCAGCCCTACAAGACTCTGCCCCACCCATCCTTCCAATGATGGCCACAATGGGGGAGGAGGAGCAGCAGGCCCCGGACCCCTGGTGTGAACGGCATAAGCGGGGTGAGTGAGATGGGACCTGCCCTGGAGCTCCTGAGGCCTGGAGGTCACCCATCTAGGGTAACAGAGTGTGATCTACTCTGGGGCTTGGCCCCTGAATCCCCATCCTCTCGCAGGGGCTGCAGGGGAGGGACTCACAGACAAGGATACCCCAAGCTCACGCCCAGCTCTGGCCTCCAGGAATGCCTTGTCTTCCCTGCAAAGCCAATTCCACAGCCTTCACTCTCTCCCAACCCTAAGGAAACAGTCTGACTTAACCACACCCGCCCACATGGTCCTTCTCACCTGTCCTTGCACAGAGGGGCAGTATCCAAAATGTGTATGTTGCTGGGTATACGCCTGCAGTCCCAGCTACTCAGGAGGCTGAGGCAGGAGGGTCACTTGAGGTTAAAATGAGCTATGATGGTACCACTGCACTCCAGCCTGGGCAACAGAGTGAGACCCTGCCGGGAAGAAGGAAGGATCGACGGAAGGAAGGATGGAAGGGAGGGAGGGAGGGAGGGAGGGAGGGAGGAAGGAAGGAAGGAAGGAAGGAAGGAAGGAAGGAAGGAAGGAAGGAAGGAAGGAAGGAGGGAAGGGAGGGAAGGGAGGGAAGGGAGGGAAGAAGGCCCACAAAATGCACACGTTTCTACACATAT